ATCTTGTCTGCTTCGATTCTGTTATTGGGCATCCTGGTTGGTTGTTTCCCGTTGTTCGGCCTTTTGAGCGCGGGGCGGTGCTTGTATGTGGGAATCGTCATCCGGGATTGTCTTCTCTTTCTTTTTGGTTGTTACACTGTGGATCGGAGCCTTTTTTTGTTTTTTTTGCAGACAAGAATGTCTGACATCTCCTGTTTTGTTGCCCCCTGTTCTGTTTTATTTGGCTGTTCCCTTCCTCTTTTCTTTGCCTCTTTGCCTTTTGGCTGTGTGCAAGTGGGTCGATATGACACACGGGGGTGGGGGCAGCCGCCGCTCAACCTACATCCACGTGGGCGGCCTTGTATGCAAAAGAGGTTCTTTCTGAACAGGGGGAGTTGTAAGGAAGAAGATTAAAAATGAATTGATCAATTTTTTTGTTTTCCTTCGTTTTTTTTTCGCTTTTGCGCTCTGATATTTATGTGATGATGTATATATACACTCATGTATATACGTATATTTGGATCGACGCTGGTTGACGAGCCTGATAAGGAAAGAGACGTCCTCTGTGCCTCCAGTCCATCTCTCTTCGGCCTTTATGTATATTTCCATATGTATCTGGATAAAAGGGTTCAGGCTCCTGACGAGTCCGTGAAACTCCGACCAAAGATTCTGTCACAGCCCCTCATTTGTTGCCCTCTTCTCCCTCTCTGCCTGAGGTGTACCGGGCAGTTCTGTTTGACGATATATATATATATATATCTCGTCAAATATGTCGTCAAATAATTGCCTGGTAAACCGTAGGCACAGAGGGAGAAGAGGATATATATATATATAAAATACCGGCGTCTCGATGACGAACAAGGCCATCTGCTGTATATAGTTTTGTTTGCAGACAAGAGTTTTGTCCTGGGTGGTCTTGTCCCGTCGTTCGGCCTGTGAAGGAGGGGCGGTGCTTGCATTTGGGACTTGTCATCTAGGATCTGTTTTTGGTGCTGTTGCTTGTTGCCCCCTGTTTTGTTGTATTTGGCTGTTCCCTTCCTCTTTTCTTTGCCTCTTTGCCTCTTTGCCCTTTGGCTGTATGCAAGTGGGTCGTGGGTGGGGGCAACCGCCGCTCAACCTACATCCACGTGGGTGGCCTTGTACGCAAGAGGGTTTTTTTTTTTTTTTTTCCAATGCAAAGGGGCCCTGAGGGCTTCAATTATAAACTTGCAAAAAAAGAGGCCGGGTTCTGAACAGGGGGAGTTGTAAGGAAGAAGATAAAAAAATGATTTTTTTTTCTTTTTTTCTTTCCTTTTTCTTTTCGCTTTTGCACTCTGATAACTTTGTGACAATAGAGGGTTCAGCCTCCTGATGAGTCGGTGAAACTCCGACGAAACAGCTTGCCACAGCCCCTTGTTTGTTGTCTTCTCCCTCTCTGCCTACGGTTTACCGGGCAGCTCTGTTTGAGTATATCGTCACAAACAGAACTGCCCGGTAAACCGTAGGCAGAGAGAGAGAAGAGGACAACAAACGAGGGGCTGTGACAAAATGTTTCGTCGGAGTTTCACCGACTCATCAGGAATATATATACATATACATATACATATATAGTGTCCTCGTGGGCGGCCTTGTACGCAAGAGGTTCTGACAGGGGGAGCTGCAAGGAAGATTTTAAAAAAACGAGTTTACTTTTTTCTTCTTTTTTTTCCTTCGCTTTTGCGCTCTGATAACTTTGTGACGATATATATTGTCCTCTTCTCCCTCTCTGCGTACAGTTTACGTGGCAGTTCTGCGCCAAACAGAGCTGCTCGATATATATATGCTGCTCGATATATATATGCTGCTCGATATATATATATATATATATCGTCAAATAGAACTGCCCGGTAAACCGTAGGCAGAGAGGGAGAAGAGGACAACAAACGAGGGGCTGTGACAAACTGTTTCGTCGGA